ACACTATGAGGATGCTGGAGTATCTTGTGACGGTTAGTTTATAGAATAAATTTGTAGCGTTGTGAGATGTATTTATTACTTTAGTTTGTACTTCTGGTTCTCTGCGTCTTGTTGGTGGATCAAACTCAAACGAGGGAAGAGTGGAACTATGTCAAAATGGAAGGTGGGGTACAGTGTGTGATGACTCGTGGGACAACACTGATGCTGGAGTTGTATGTAGACAGCTTGGTCTAGGAACAAGTGAGTTAGCTAATATGATGTGTTGTGAGTAGTTTCCTGTGATTAATTTTAGGTGGGACAGCTCGCAGCAGTGCATACTTTGGTCAGGGAAATGGATCAATATTATTGGATGATGTTGCATGTGATGGAACTGAACAATTTCTTACAAACTGCACACACACCTCAAATCACAACTGTGGACACTCTGAAGACGCCGGAGTGACTTGTCCAGGTCCAGGTGAGTGTATAATTAATGAGATTATTAATTTGTGGCTTATAGCTTGTCTTGTTGGTATAGCATGTTTGAGTTGATTCTTATAAATTTTTTATGAATTTCACACTTTCTTAAAAACTGGGCCAATGTCCCTGTACTATAGAATTGGGTGATTAGGGTCATTGGCAAAATTTCACCAAAAATAACATAAAGAAAATTCTCTATTTTATATTTCTTCCTGATACACATACATACTCTCATGTTGTGTGGCAAGTTTTAACTGATTCCGATAATAATTGAATTTTTTTGTAAATTATTATAATTAAAAAATCAAGCCAGAGTTCTTTTACTATAGTATTACAGGGTCTTTTGCCAAAATTCACAAAAAATGACTAAGAGAGAATTCTTCATTTTAATAATTTTTCTTATAGATATACATGTTGTTTGCACGTTTGAGCCAATTTCAATTAAAGTGGATTTTTTATTAACTTTTAAATAGCCATGTACATTCACAGAATCTGACAAAACATTTGGACGTGAGGCAATTTTTGACCATTGTGCTCATTTGTCCTACAAATTCTGTGTTGTTCTACCATTTTGTCTAAGCATTGTAAGCAACATAATTTTTGAAATAAATTTATTAAAGTAATTTAATAAAATAACTTGTCCTACAGCAAGGTTTCCCACAAAGCATATAAGTGAGCAAGCTTCATGCATGAGCTGACAAGCACGACAATAGGGTACATGGGATTTGGAGCAACTTTTAAAATTCATAAAAATTCAAATTTGATCAAAATTAGCTCAAAATTTTAACACAGCTAGCCTAAAAACATGTTTACATGTTTATGTTAGCATAGTCTAAAACATGTTTATGTATGTGGATCAGAAAAATTTATAAAAAATAGAGAATTTTCTTCTTTTTTTATGTTTGACAAAATGTGGCCAAAGACCCTAGGGGTACAGGGGCTTTGGTTTGATTTTTGAGCAACTTCAAAATTTGTAAAAATTTAAATTTGATCAGAATCAGCTCAAAATTAATACACAAAATAAGAACATGTATAATTATGAATAAGAAAAAATTTGTGGTATATTGATGCAACAATGTTTACTTAAAACTTGTTAAAAAATATTTATTCACAGCATGTACTGCTGGATCAATCCGTCTTGTTGGTGGTTCACACGATTGGGAAGGAAGAGTGGAAGTGTGTGATAGTGGATCATGGGGCACCATCTGTGATGATCTCTGGGACTCCCCTGATGCAGCAGTAGTGTGTAGACAACTAGGCTGGGGAACAAGTGAATTGATTCCTTTTGACCATGAATGATACATGTATATTGTGACAGGTGGAACTGCTCGATCAAATGCGTACTTTGGTCAGGGTACTGGTAGTATCCTCCTGGATAATGTTCAGTGCACAGGAACAGAAGAGTTTTTGACAAACTGCACACACTTGAGTACTCACAACTGTGGACACTATGAGGATGCTGGAGTATCTTGTGATGGTTAGTTTGTAGAATAAGTTTGTATTGTTGTGAGATGTATTTATTACTTTAGTTTGTACTTCTGGTTCTCTGCGTCTTGTTGGTGGATCAAACTCGAACGAGGGAAGAGTGGAACTGTGTCAAAATGGAAGGTGGGGTACAGTGTGTGATGACTTCTGGGATTCGACTGATGCTGGTGTTGTATGTAGACAGCTGGGATATGATTCAGGTAAGGAAAGGTTTATAGGTTAATTGGAGTGTGAGTGTCGCAACATAGGAACTGCATTTGGTAGTGCCTACTTGGACAAGGAAATGGATCA